TGCAGGTTGCTGCTTCCTGTCCTCACACAGTAAAAACAACACGTTTTAATCAATGCTGATCTTTATTTCCTCCAGGAGACAAACGGCATCTTTTACGTTTTCTATAGAAAAGCTGACAGTACCGCAGAGGTCACATGACCTGCAGCCTCTTTAACGCTGAGAAGCTGGAGACAGAAATTGTTCCGTTATTGTTCCTCCTTCAGCAAGTTCACACAAAACGACAGAAAAGAGCGAAACATGAGTTTTTAAACCAATCAGAACAGCTCCGCCCCCCAGCGAGGATAACGTCAGGGTCAGTAGAAACACATGAAACACCTGCAGGCCTACACAGTCCTCATCATTAGAATGGACCTGCCTCTATTGTTATTAACGATAAGTTGAAAGGCCTGGTTATGTAATGACCGTGTCACGTGACATCAGACTGACCTCTCACAGAGCAGCAGACGCTTCCTCGTCCTGTCACACAGATGTAAACACACATTTGGTTCCTCGTTAATAATAAGTTAAGAAGCTTAAACGGGCCAAATAAACCTGTGTAGATTACAGCAGCTCAGATTACAGCAGCTCGGGGTTACTCTACACACACTGGTAGTTTACTGGTTACACTGGTGTAAAACCTCCAGTGTCCACTAACCCGTCGGCTCCGAGGTTCCTCACATAGCTGACCGCAGCTGTACTTAATATTTTGGCTGCTGTAACAGGAATCCAGCTTCTGATTGGTTAATTTCTGGAAGCCTGCTGAGGGCCTGTTACCCGCCCTCTTATTTGTAACACCTGGCTTCATCTAAACAGGACATACTCGCCAAACCCGTTTTACTCACAGAGGCTTCAGTGGGCGCACGCCATGACCACAGACCTGCAGCAGCTTCGATGGCGTCCGGTGCTCGCGTCTGTTTTTCATATGGAAACGACGTCCTCGGGGCAGGAAGTCGCCGCCAGGATTTAAATAAAATGAAGGCACCAACTTTACTGTCCTCTAAGTGATGAACGCCATGTAATCATGCAATTCAGAGTAATCTGATTACAATTTACATTTTCCCATGATGAGAATCTTTAAATATGTGTTCAGGCTCAGCGGTAAGTGTAGGACATGTGCAAGCGAAAAACATAAAAGCAGAAAAGAGGCTGTAGGTGCCCCCTCCTGCTCCAGGTGCAAAGATATGATTGGTGTTTAGGTGCAGACAGGAAGTCTGCCGAGGTCTCAGGATTCAGCTACCCTGCACCTGTACAGGAAGTTCAGGGCTGGACCTCCCAGTTTGTGTAATTAGACTGGAGTGGAACCATTAGTCCTGAAAATGTTTACTAAAGTCTGCCCCTCCCCCCTCCATCACTGTGAAGAACTCTGGAGCTTTTATTTTGAAATCCGGCTGCTCAGTGCAGTTTGAGTGGTATCAGTCACAATTTGGTGTTTTGTTTTAATTAAAGGCTCCTCTGGACACTTTCAGCACACAAGCATCATCTCACGAGT